CAGCGGCCACAACAGACGGTGACACAGCTGGGTTACCTGTCACCACACTACTTCTCCGATCACGCCAGCTTGGCATCACCTGTTCAAGTTGCCCTGGTTCCATCACAGGCCTAGGAGCAGCCGCCTCCTGAGGAATAGTGCCCTCATCATCATCATCCACAATACTCATGGCCTCCCCCTCAGAACCTACCGCATCTCCCTCAACCTCCTCTACTACCGATGGGGACCGTCCCTCTCCCCCCTCTGCGGTCTCCAATGGTTTCGTCGACGGGCTCGGTGCCCCCGACACCATGAGCTCATCATTACCATCACCAACAGGACTGTTTTTCTCCCATTTATCATCAGCCCATTTCCACCGACATTTGGATTCCGAGTCGCTCCAGTCATTTCGAGGCCTCCGCTCAGGGCTTCCACCACCCTCCTTTCCCTCCTCAGATTCCCAGTACCTCCCCCATTGCCCCATACCATCCTTCCACCAATTCTGGCTGTCCTTACCCTCCCATGACCAGTCCTTATCCCCCTTTCCATCTCCCCATGCCGTCTTACTGTCACTCCAACTCTTCTTCCAGCCGGTTTTGTTATTGCCACCGACCGCTTTGTCGGCCGAGGATGGTTCGTTCCAATCGCGGTTAGCATCCTTCCACTCGCCCTTCTTCCCACTCTGATCATTCCCTTTCCACCCCTTCCAATCATCATCATTCCAGTCGTCCCAATTAGTGTCGTTGCTGGTCTTCCAGCCAGATTTCGCTGACCCGCTACCAGATTTCCACCCAGGTTCGTTCCCGGCACCCTTCTTTTTTCGCCAATCCATATTCCCTCCTCTCCATTTCTTTCCACCAGAGCCCCCTGCCCCCCGCTTCCAACCCCCTCGATCTGCAGAGGGACTTGTCCTCGGCCGTACCTTCAGGGGTATCGGCTCTTCCACTACCACTGCAGAGCCGCTCTCCTCAACGCCGTCCTCATCATCAACCTCAATGGTCTGAGTCTCATCGATCTCTATATACCTCCGAGCGTGGAACAAGACCTCCTTCAGAGAGGCGAGAGTACACATGCAGATCTGCCTCAACTGAGGGTCCAAGTCCACCCTAACCTGAGCAGCAGTTCTCTATGGTCACATCCGGAAGCCCCTTCCCTCACATATCCACCGCCAGTCTCCCGCTTAGACTTCTTCCCGTAATTCCAATCCCACCACAGACCCTTCTTGTCCACGAACCTGTCACAATTAACCATTATGATACTTCCAACAAAAATCAATTCTCCCCACCTTTTCAACGCCACCTCCACCTTCCGCATATCTGTACACTCGTTGCCTATGATATCAACTAGAGGAGCCTTCACTGCCTTCACAACACTCGTACGAACTCTTGCACGGTAAACCGAGTTGGG